GGGTTGATATAACTGATTGCAGTTATATCATCTCGTCTTAGGTATTTTTCCGAGCTTAAACTTTGGTCTGATCAGCTTGGATATTACATCACCGACAAATTTTTGCGCCATAACTATGCTACCCGATTTAACTGCTATTATACAATTAGGGTTGTCAAATTACCGTAATTTACGTAATTTTGTGAAATTTTGCGTAAGTTTTCAGTAACATGGTTTTTATGTAATTTGTAAGAAACGTGATCATATGCTCATATGATTGGTTGGATCATATGTATATCGATTTGGTCAACGAACTTTATGCAGAATCTGTGTGAAATTTACATGAAATTCAAGTTACTGAAATTTACGCAAAAATGTAAAATTGTAATTTTTGTAATACAACCCTACATACAATAATTAATTTACAATATATAACGCATTGTCACATGATAATTGCACTAGCATTATAAAAGTTCTGCCGGCATTAATAGATTTCCATCATTGTGTTCGGTTACGTAAAATTACGTAAAATTACGTAAAATTACGGTAATTTTCCATCAAAATACGATTTCTACTCAGCATTATATGAATTTTTAGGTGATTTTATTATGAAAATTTTTTATTATATATTAATTTATATGTATTTAAACTCCGTACGTAACTGATTTGGGTGGTTATTCTTGGTTCGTCTACTCGACGGGAAGAGTCTAGAAATTCCCGATTAGGTAATTCGGCTTTATTCATAAATTTTATAACATAAAATTAAATATACAGAATATAATATCTTTATCCCGATAACTAATAGCCAGAGGTGCTAATCTGCTTATTCGACTCTATTAATTAATTGGTTTTATTCTAATAAATATACAAGCAGATTAAATCAATTAACGTCTCTACCGGTAAACCTATGGAACTATAATTGGCCCGTAAATCATAGAACAGAGAATCCTCTCGATACTTCGTCCAAGCTGTACGTACGTACGCGCGAGCTTATTAAACGCACCCTATGCATGAGCAAAATTAGATTCAAAAGGTATTATTCTAGTAGTCTTGTGATATAAACTTTGACAAAGCTAAACTAAGAATGTACCCCAGGCACATCTCTATCCTTTGTAAAGTACTTCACAGTGCGTACGTACATTATACATTAAGGATTACAAGAAAAAACTAAATTATGTAAAAATTTATTTTTATAGTCACTAACTTGCATCCTCATTATATGAGTCGTTCTAAATGCGTAATTATAATCGATACGATGAAAACATAGAGTTAGAACCAGTATTATTTCCACCATAATTTGAACCAAAGTAAGGTGCCACAGAGCTTAAAGACGGTAACGTTGGCTGTCCAGGGGGAGGAAGAAGCGTTGAAGGAAGATCAGTGGTGTTACTAATTGTTGTATTAGTGAGTGAAGAAGTCGTGTTACGACCTATTACTGGTGGCAGCACGGACTGATTTGGCGCTATTGTGCTGATAGTGGGAGCTACCTTATTAGATATGTCATCTGTAGGTAAGTCATTCTCGGGAGAAGTAACTGCAGTATGACCATTGGAGACAACATTAGGAATAGGTGTTGAAACCGCAGAGACCGCAGACGAGGATAAGCTTGGATGATCATCAGTGTCCATTTGAACAGATGAGAAGTTATCCGTATTGCTCATTCTCACGGCAATTTCATATATACCATTTTGACTATTGTGATCAGGATTATCATTATCCGAAGAAATACCTTTGAAAGGTTGATTTTCTTCGGGATCTTGTGGCCTCTTAAAAAATCTGCGAACCCGCTGAGTAATAAAATAGTAACAAATTTGTTATAATTTAATAATTGGATTGTAAAATTATAAAATAATTCATACTTTGACTGGTTTATAATTAGAATTAAGCTTGTAAACAGTTCCGATTCGTAATATACGTTCTTTCTTAACCGCCTTTTGTAGTGCTTGAGAAGCGGATGCGCGGAAATTTTTATGTAATGGATATGTACTAATGCAAACACAAAATAAATAATCTAGCAACAAATGGACAATTTATGCAAAATGATCATTGCCATTAAATATTTACTTATTCATCCATTCAAAAATGTTACGAGGAGCGCTTCCGGAAGGGTCAGCTATGGCAGTTAAAGCTTGTACAATCATTTCTTCGTAAGATGGTAAATCAACGCCGACGGCTGGCAAGTGAGCACGTGAAGAATCGGTGGCGTCGACTACAAATCCCTGAGAAACCGGGGTGGGAATAGGGACCCGCGGATCAGGTGGTGGGATAGATACAGGATTTAAACCTGATGTCTGCCTCTCATCCACCAATGGAGGATTTGGATTAGATGTAGATGTAATAGCATGAGCACTATTCGCGATTTTTTCTTTTATATCAGCTGGATATAAAGGAAGATCCGGATGTAATTTTTCAGCAATGAGTATAAGATCAATCAAGACTCGCTGTGGTAAAGATGACAGATATGCAACTTTCTAGCCGTAATAAACCGATAATATTAAACAGATGTTAAATAATAAGTAGAGGTCGGATCCTTTGAATATCCATCATGACTATTCAGTAAATATTTGCGGGTTTTGGATGTTCGTGAATAGCATTGGACGAATATCCGGATTTTGGATGGATACCCATGCTATTACTTGTAACCGCGAATATGCACGGATCAATTATATTGATCACGAACCCTCGACTATTCGTGAATTTTGTGTAACCAAATATTGGATATTCAATGAATTTCCGTTTCTAACCGTGAATATTCATGGATCCGGCCTCTAATAATAAGATGTAAAACAAATAAATTACTAGAAGATACCTGCTCTTCTGTTAAACCATTTCCTGAGCTACCTCGAAAAATATCGGAAGAGACAGATATGGATCCAGATGATGTGTTTGAACTATCGACTTTCCTTCGTTTACGGCCTCTAAGCGCTTCCTCACACTTTGCACACATCCATTCTGCATCAGGTATTTCAACTACGCGACTTTCAATAGGCGGTTTGTGGCATTGTTGATGATAAGGAATGTCGCATTTGTCACATAATACTATACGATTATTCTTAGGAGAGCGACCATCTCTACAAATGGTACACACGATATCATCAGAAGTATCTTGATCCCCGTTAGTCGATGTCCGTGAAGTATTTATATTCCGTTGACGTTTGTCTACAATATAAAAATGAAGAATACATAAAATGGACTTCACATAACTACATGTAATAATAATAATAATAATAGTTATAATAATAATAATTACTTGAATTCTTATTCCTATTTTCATTTGACGATTTTTTGACGTCAGGAGTAAATAATACAGGCTTGTGGACTTTTCTACCATACTTTGTCTTTGGTAAATCATCAAAATCCGAAGCTGATAATAAAAAACAAATTCATTAAGTGCAAAATCAATAATGTATTAATCAACAATTATAATACGGTAACTTACACACGAAAGGATGTTCACTATTATTTTTATCAGGTGTTACAGATGACGACAAATTAATTGATTTATTTTGTGAACTGGAATCTGTCATTTTATCCGTATTGGCCAAGTCATCAGACACAGATTGAGACGAGATGTTACTATCAACGCCCGGATTATTGGGCATATTAGATATATTGGACACTGGGTTTTTGTTTTCATCCGCGTGTTCGGGGAATTCGATCTCCTGCACCACATCATTCCCTTGCTTAACGGGGCTAGAAGTATCCGGATGAATAACATCTTCAAGCTCGAATTCCCCATCTTCGTCACCCTTTAAAGGGAATAAACCATGCAATAAATTTGAGAATTACAAAATTGATATTTATCTATTTTTAAAGTTAAAAGCAATACTATATAGTAGGACGTGCTAATAAAAAGATAATCTAGAAATATATCAATCTCGATATTCTCTTCCAGATTGAAATCAACATTTACCCATTCTTCCTGTTGTTGGTTTCTTTTAACAAAATTGACTTCTTGTTTTGTAGTAGAGTCAGTTGTCAACAGAGAGCTAAGCACGCCATTAGAGGCAGGCACACTTGTGCTCGATTGAGACATTAAAAATGAGAGACAAGTCGTAAATTTTCTAGTTAATATCGATTTATCTAAAGAGGATAATTTTCAAACCCGTAAATAATG